TGCAGTGCGGTGTGTTCCTCTATCCTCTGTATTTTCTGCAAACTGGAAGCCGGATCCAGAGGCTTTATCAGACTCAGGTTCTATCCCTTTAGCACATCTATAGGGAGGGTTATGTTCCTCCATCAGGAGGCAATAATGTCTGATTGTCTCTTGCTTTGTCATATTATCTGGCATCGATGCCCATTGCCTATATCCATTTAATTCATTTAAAAAAAAGTTGCCGTTGAGTCAATTCATAGCAACCCTGAAGGACAGAGTAGAACTGCCCCACAGGGTTTCCAAGGAACGGCTGATGGAGTCGAACTGCTGACCTTTTGCTTAGCAGCTGAGCCCTTAACCACTTAATTCATTAGGAGTTGCAAAAAGACACTACTTTATTTCTATCAATTCATTTTCATTTATTAGCTAGAATAATTGAATAAAGAGATACTTCCTTTAATACTTTGGTTACTCAGCGGTACAGTTTTTAAGGAAAAGACGAGTTGCCTTTTGCCTAAGCTTGATATTTCCACTTATATACTAGTTTTCAATATAATGAATTGACATCTTGTTATGCTGAGAAGTTGATAGATTTGTTTTTTTTTTTTGTTTTTGCTATTATGAAATAGTGAATTTTTTTCATAAATAATGAATTTCATGCATGGCTTTTTTTTTTTTAACTTTACTAACGCTCAGATTTTCATCTCTTGAGAGTCTCTTGCAGATAGCTCCTGAGACCTTTTGTCTTGTCCTTTGCAGCCTTTGACTTAGTGCCCAAGAAATGCCAATATGGCTTAATGGATGGTTATAAAATCACTTAGTCCAACCCCCATGAAGAAAACCACTTCATCAAATTGAGAAATTATATGAAGTCATTTTCAGTTGGCTGTCATGGATGTGAACTTCAGGCACATGATGGCATCAGGTGAAGAGCTGGGTTTCTCTAGTCAGACCAAACTTGTACCGAGTATCAGTTTTGCCATCACCGAGGATCGCTGTGAGTCGGAATCAACTTGACGACAACGAGTTTGGTTTGGTTTTGGTTTAAGCTTATGCTCTTGGGAAATTACTTAAACTATCTGATCTTTAGCCTCCTTGTCTGTAAAATGGGGTTTATAATAGTAGTGGTATCTACCTCGTAGTATTTTTATGTCACTTAAATATAAATATTATATAAAGCACTTAGCACACGGCCAGGTGTGTACTAAGTGTTCAGTCTATGAGTTTCTGTGCAATTGGGGGTTGGCGAAAAGCAGCATGCCCTCCTGGTCTCTGAGTAGAGGAGAGGCTGGGAGCCACTCCATCCAGCTTGCAGTTATCGCTCTTGGATTTTACAGTGGCAGCCCAAGGGTTAATACTGTGAGAGGGTGTGGGTGGCCACATCCCAAAGCTTCCTTTGAGCCAGTTTGCTATTGTTACGGTTTTTTTCATCACCTCTTTGAAGTTTCAAGATTGACAAATGTTATTCAGTAATTTCCCCTCAAAATTTTTACATGTAGGTTATCAAAGAGAAATCACAGGAAATTTGAGGGGAAAGTAAAACTTTGGTTTCTGACATTGAGCCGGGGATTTCTAGAGTCTTCTTTCTGTCGATGCATAAACATAAACTTCAGGATATTTCTGTTTTTGTATTTCCTTCATCCTGAAAAGTAATAGAAATTAGCACAGGAGACCTTTTCGTACATGGCCAGGAATTATAAAATAAAGTTATCAGTGATAAAAGAAGTTTATTGGATGTTTTACACTCTTTGATGAACTGGAGACACAGCTAAGTAATTATGCAGTTAATGTTTTAAATTTTATAATCATGTTGCATCCATATTTGAAAAAGAAAATTCATATTGGCCCAAAATGAAGTTTCTCAAAATTTTGCCAATCTATTACAGATTTTTAAAATAATACCTATAGAACAGAGGTCATCAAACTTTCTGTAAAGGGGCAGATAGTAAATATTTTCAGTTTTGTGGTTCAGACATGATCTCTGCTGCACGTTCTCCTTAGTTTTTTTCTTTAAAATTTTTTAAATGTAGAAACCATTCCTACCTCTCAGGGCTGTACGAAAACAAGCCATGGACCCTTGGGTTGTACTTTTTCAATCCCTGCTATAGAACATAAAAATGTGAGGAATATTCTCCCACAAAAGTCAGTCAGTCATTCAGTTTCTACAGCCAACAGGTCTTGAGTGTCATCAAGTGCCCCATCCTGTCCCAGGTGCTGGGTCTATCAAAAGGGGCCTGCCCTTTACCCGCACAGAGCTTACCTTCTCATGAGAGAAACGATCGGATAATCCAACAGATTGATGATTATAAGACAGCTTGTGTAGTGAGAGACATGGAAGACTGAAATAAGTGGGGACTTCAAGCCAACACATTCATTGAAATGCTCCAGATAATAGAGATGACATTTCTGGGAGAGGGCAGTGTGATCTGCGGTTGTCCCTGAATATCATGTCATTGGTCCTCTTCATTTTACTTTCCAGGTTCATACTTTGCTGGCCAACAGAAATAGTCCATACTTCTCTGCAAGAGCTTTTTTCCCCCCTTTTTCAGTTCCAATCCTTTCTGTAATTGCGTTGTTTCACCTCCACTTCTACCCCAAGTCCCACCTCTCCTTTGTCCCCAGTCCTGTCTCCCAGCCTGTGTAATAATTTGGGTTTTCATGAGCCAGTCACCAAATTTTATTCCTTTTTAAAATTCTTTTTGATGCATTACTGTATTTTCCCCCCAATGGTGATGTTCCCCGCTGGTCGCCGAAATTCTGATGTGTTAGCCTTACTTTGCCAGTTTGTAGTGGCATCATGTAGACTTAGACCTCAAGTTTTCATCTAGACGATACAGTCCGTGGAAGCTGCTGTTTGCCTCGTAGAACTTACTTTAAGAACGGGTAAGTGAATCATGAAACCTAAACGCTCCAGACTGACGTGGTACTAGCTTCATTTCTTATTATGTTCCTGAAGTGATGGTATCACATGCAATTTAAGCAAGTGAATCCCTTTCAGGGATTATGGTATCCCCATTCCATCTGGTCTGTATTCTCATCCTTTTTTGGCTAAACAATCCACAGTAGGTGCCAACTGCCAATTGGCTAATTGCATATCCCTTCTCTGACTTTCAGTCTGGTTCTGTACTACTTACTCAATCTTTGTCGTTTCCATTCCACTGTGCAAAGCAGTCAGTTTGGGAGAATTGCTCTTCTTCAGATAGATCATACTTTCTTACTTCCGCACCTTCATTCATAACATTCCTTCTACTCAAGGCAGTCCATGCCACTGTGCCTTTCATGTGCCTGTAAGCTTTCTCCTACTCCACCAACACATAGATTATACTCAGTTATCTCCCATCCCAGACTGCCCTGTATTGCTAAGCATTTCTGTACATGCCCTAACACCTCTACTGTATTATAACCTCTTTGAGGCCAGTGTCATGCCCATGGTAGACACTCAGTAATGATGTGTTTAATGAACAGATCTAGCATTTGACCATAAAGCCTGCTTGTTAATGGGTACCCTCAAGGGAGGATGAAGGGCATATAAAGCAGTAGAATTCTGTCATTCTTGTTAATGGAGGCAGCCTAGCACACGGCTGTCACTGAACTATAACTATCCTTTCACTTGTCTCCTGCCCACTAAACATTTCCACCCATGTCCTTCTTCCCAAGAAGAAAATTATTTAATCAGTGTCAACAAGGTCACCACATGAACCACGGTTTGGTGTACAGGATAATGTAGTTTGGTTTCTACTGCTAAGGGTTCTCTTCCATCAACCCACCCATCCCAACCCCATTGCCGTCGAGTCGATTCTGACTCATAGCGACCATATAGGACAGAGTAGAACTGCCCCATAGAATTTCCAAGGAATTTCTGGTGGATTCGAACTGCCGACCTTTTGGTTAGCTACTGTTGCACTTAACCACTAAGCCACCAGGGTTTCCCCGTCAACCCACAGGGGTCAGGAAACGAGCTGCATTTCCTTCTTTAACAACTTTCCTCACCTTTGTAGAAGTGTTTCCATTGTTGCTACTAAATATTTCTATTCTAAGTAACTAAGTTGCATGCACACTGAAAAGAAGTCATATTGGGTGGATATAAGAGTAATTAACTTCTAAAGATACCCTTCCCACAGACTTCTCTCCCCACCACCAAGGCCCAGAGCTGATGTCTAAAGGAAGCCTGGATGTTGATCAGAGCAGGAAAAGTTGGATTCGAGAAAAGAACGAAACCCAAACCAAACCCATTGCCATCAAGTCTATTCCAACTCTTAGCAACCCTGTGGACAGAGTAGAACTGCCCCATAGGGTTTCCAGTGGATTCAAACTGCTGACCTTTCGGTTAGCAGCCAAGCTCTTAACCACCGCGCCATCAGGGCTCCAGGAAAAGAACAGCCTATGGCGAAACCATGGCAGTCTCTGCACTGTTACAAGCTACTGTTTTGAAGGCGGGAGCCAGATCATTCTTGCTATATTCCCAAAGCTCCCCCAATGCTTTGAGCTTAGTTAACACTCAGCAAATGCTTTGCCTGTTTATTCAACACGTATTTATTGAGGACCTCCTGTGTGCCACATGCTGTTTACAGTAGTGAAGAAGAAAGATGTTATCCCTGCCAGCCTGGAGTTCTTGGTCTGCTGGGAGTAAGAAGAGTAGGGAGAAACAGATATGGAAACCAGTTAAGTGGAGTCATAGTTATTTAATTGGAATTGTGCTAAGTTGTTACATAGGAACAGCATAGGGCGCTATAAGAAAATATAAAATAAGACATTTTTCTAATTCTGCCTAGTTTTCCCTTAGGGAGTGGCATGTAAGTTGAAGTTTGGGGGAAGAATATAAGACATTGAATGGATAGCCAGAGGCAGGAGCATCCGACTAGTACACACCAGCATCCCTGGAATAAAAATTCACAATATCTCATCTACAAAAACTATGCAGATGCTAAATGCTGTAGATGCCTGAGGTGTGCATTCATTTCCATACAGAATATACGTACAGAACCCAACTCCTTGTCTCCCTTGTTTTGTTTCCACAACAGAATATAACACCAGCAGCCCTGACTTGTTGCTAGTCATCATCCAAGTGACAGGCGTCAGCCTCCTGCCGCCGCTGGGGGTCGCCATAGCTGTGATCATCACCTTCTACTGCTACCGCGTTCACCGACAGCAGAAGCTGAGCCCATCCTGGGAGACCAGCAAGCCAAGGAAGCTCATGGAGTTCAGTGAGCACTGTGCCATCATTCTGGAAGATGACCGCTCAGACATCAGCTCTACCTGCGCCAACAACATCAACCACAACACAGAGCTGCTGCCCATTGAGCTGGACACCCTGGTAGGCAAGGGCCGCTTCGCCGAGGTCTACAAGGCCAAGCTGAAACAGAACACTTCAGAGCAGTTTGAGACCGTGGCAGTCAAGATCTTCCCCTATGAGGAGTATGCCTCTTGGAAGACAGAGAAGGACATCTTCTCCGACATTAACCTGAAGCATGAGAACATACTCCAGTTCTTGACGGCCGAGGAGCGGAAGACAGAGCTGGGGAAGCAGTATTGGCTGATCACTGCCTTCCACGCCAAGGGTAACCTACAGGAGTACCTCACGAGGCATGTCATCAGCTGGGAGGACCTGCGCAAGCTAGGCAGCTCCCTTGCCCGAGGCATTGCTCACCTGCACAGTGATCATACCCCTTGTGGGAGGCCCAAGATGCCCATTGTACACAGGGACCTCAAGAGCTCCAATATCCTTGTGAAGAACGACCTGACCTGCTGTCTCTGTGACTTCGGGCTTTCATTGCACCTGGACCCTACTCTGTCTGTGGATGACCTGGCCAACAGTGGGCAAGTAAGTTAGAGCAGGTGCCTGGATCCCCCTTACCTTGTTGCTGGCCCACCATACTTTTCTCCGTATTTCACACCTCTTATCTCAAACAGCAACCTGGACATTTGTCTAGGGAGTCTAGCCAAAATAGAGAGTCTACCCTGGGTGTGACCCCATTCTTCCACCAGGGTACCTTTGCTAATAGCGTTTTCCCCATTTCTTCAAATCCTTCCCAACCCAGAGAAAATATGTTTGTCCCTGAGTCAATCCTCATTTCTTTCTCATTGTCAAATGATTTTTCTTTGTGTTCACACACAGTTAGTATATTATTTCTATTATTTTCCTCTCTTATGGTATACTTGGCCCTTTCTACTCTGCACTGTTGATATTTATATAAGTTTCTTTTTACCCTTCTAGAAGGTAATCCCCTTGAAGTCTAAGTCTACATCCATTTGATCAGCTATCTAGTACAATGTGTTGATCAGTGAAAGTGGCCAATAAGTCTTTGTTGAGTGAATGATGGAATGAGTGAGTGAACAATTCCATTCTTGAAGCATTTTCATAAATTATGATGCAAACCTTTTTTGGTTAAGGAGCTATTAAAAAGTGATTAGAAATTTCCAAAATTCATAAATGCCTTTATGAATGACGAGGCCCCATGTTTTTGCACACTGAAAACTTGGCTGCAGATTAGAGTGGAGTCGGCAAGGAGTGCCATCGTTTTCTCTAACCAGGTGGGGGGACATGCTTTGGAAGCATTCAGTTACTGAGCAGCCATCCCTTTGTGTCCATGGCAGCACATGCAGTGTTGAGGTAAACACATTGAAATATGGACAGATTAATGTGCCAGAGCAATGACTCATAGAATGACTTGTTGAAAAGAAAAAAGATGTCTGATACATGTCAATAAGAAATGTTCCTGGAATGGTAAAATCAAGTCCCTTGACCCCGCCTCAGGGAAGAAAGGACTTCATTGCTGTTTAGTCAAGCTAAGTATGTGATGCAGTATTAAGCTGTGCACATTTGAAGTTGCAATATCAAACACTGAAGTGATTGATTCCCAAGAAACAATGGATCCTATGTTTGTATATGATCAGTCATAGAGATTAGCACAGGCCTAATAGGCAAAGTAAAACGATACAGCAGGCCCACAAAAATTAGAGTGATCCCCAACTGGCCTCTCACTGTGGAAACACTTTCATATAATTCAGTAGGGAGCTTATGAAATTACACAACATCCTCGGCACACTGGAATGTGCTGTGGGGCAAACAAAGAAGATTAAGACACAGTCCTTAAGTGATCAAAAATGGTGGCCTTTGTTATTTTTACCGTAAATCTCCCTGGAGTTTCAAGAATGAAACAATATTTAATTTGCAAAAGCAAACATAAAGATCTAAAATGTCACCAGTGTTGTCTCCCAGGTCATGTGTCAGGGTGTTCTTGAAGAATTTGATGATATATCATGGGGCCAGATAAGCCAGCTTTGGAGTTTGGCATTTCCTGATTTGGGCATTCTTTGTTTATAGCCTTTAAAGGGCTTGCAGGGAAAGAACACCTATTTTTAAAGATAATCCCATATGCTGTGCCTTTCTATGTAGGTCTCATTATTTAAAGCAGCACTGTGGCTTTTTTAAGATCATCTGCACATACAGGGAACACACGTCAGCTATATTTTGAAAATACAAATGCAGCTGGACTTAAGCGATGGGCCTCCATGTCTGTTTTCACTTTAGGTGGGAACTGCAAGATACATGGCCCCGGAAGTCCTCGAATCCAGGATGAATTTGGAGAATGTTGAGTCCTTCAAGCAGACCGATGTCTACTCGATGGCTCTGGTCCTCTGGGAAATGACGTCTCGCTGTAATGCGGTGGGAGGTACGTATGGACCACCATCATTATGCAGTAGTGGACGCCCCTTCAAAATGATACCATGTTCTTTCTTCAAGCCTGGTTCCAGGGGGTCCCAAAACTGTTAACTCCACAATGCAAACTAGTTGAGATCTGGTTGTAGACAGACATTCCAGAACTATTTGTACTTATGCTAAAAAGCGTAGGTTTTTCATCTGAAAGCCATGCTGGGACATAAAACTTTGCATCTCCATTCTTGAAGCGTAAGTACTTTTTTTTTTTAGACACATCACTCCACAGATATTTAAATATCTGGCAAGAGATTAACACTAATGCTATTTAGAATGATTTCTATTTGTCAAATGGGTAGTATCATTCAAATAAGTGTCTGATCTTTGTTCCTGTTTGTATTTTACGGCTTTTCAGAATTACAGTTATAAATAAGAAAAATTTGCTCTTATGGACATGATTTTCTTTTTTGGGGCAAAACAAGCAGAGTGGTTTGGTACATTTGTTTAGGTTTTGACAGATTTAGTGAAGAGAGTTTATTGAGGAACGCCATCCTCTTGCTGGTTAAGACTCTGGGACTGATTTGGAGACCTACTTTTCTCCTGCTTTTCCTCTGCAAACCCAAGGTGATCCATCTGGCTTGTTGTTTTTTTCCCCGAGTGCAGCCCCCTACTTTCCTTCTCTTGTTTAGGATCAGATCACTACAAAATAGAACATGGCTTCTCCAGATTCCCTCTTTGGTGTCTTCTCTACAAAGAGCACATTGTCTCGTTTTCATTGTTAGAAGTTATCATGGTCTCATTTTCATTGTTAGAAGCTATTATTGCTGGTGACTGTGAAAATATAGCAAAGGATGGACGAAAGTGCAGGGGGGAATGTCATTGTTTTAGGGAGTATTGTCCCCTGATCTTCCCAACGGCCAGTGTTGAAATTATTATAGCCTTCTCTGACTCTTCTTAGTAGTTTCTGTCAGGGTCTTAGTTATTACCCTGGCAGTGTATGCATCCCAACCTAGTCCTGGCTGCATGCTGAATCAAGCCAGGCTAACCCCAATTTTATTTTAACTTTTCATTTTGTAATAACTTCAGATTTATAGAATTGTTGGAAAAACAGTACAGAGAGTTCCTGTATACCGTTCACCCAGCTTCCCCTGGTGTTAACATCTTATGTGACCATAGTATAACCATAGAAAGCAGGAAATTAACATTGGTATAATACTCTTAACTAACCTATAGACTTATTTGAATTTCCAAGTCCTCAGTCCTTTTCTGTAACAGATCCAATTCAAGATTCCACATTGCATTTGGTGTTTATGCTCCCTTATCAAACCTGTTGCCCTCGAGTCAATTCCTACTCATAGTGACCCTGTAGGACAGAGTAGAACTGCCCCATAAGGTTTCCAAGGCCGTAAATCTTTACAGAAGCAGACTGCCACATCTTTCTCCCACGGAGTGGCTGGTGGGTTTGAACCGCTGACCTTTTGGTTTACAGCCAAGTGCTTAACTGCTGCACCACCAGGACTCCCTTCGTGCCTCCTTAGTCACCTTTAACTTGTGACAGTTCCTTAGTCTGTCCTTGTCTTTTATCACCTTGACATTTTGGAAGAGTGTAGGCCAATTATTTTCTAGATGGTCCTTCATTTTGTCTCGTTGTTTTCTCATGATTAGATGGAAATTATCCATTTTAGGCCAGAGTAGCACAGAATTGATGTTCTGCTCTTCCCAGTGCCTCAGATCAGGGTCACTTGAAATCGATGTGCCTTATGGTGATGTTAAATTTGATCACTTGGTTAAAGGTGGTGTTTACCAGGTTGTAACACTGTAGAGATACTAGTTTTCCCTTTGTAATTAATACATATCTTGTGGGAAGATACTTTGACCTCTTTCTAAAGATACTAAACACCTGCTTAGTAATGATAGTAGATGTGTTTCTTATCATAATTTTACCCACTAATTTTGGGCTCCATCGATAGCTCTTGCCTACAACAATTATTACTGTAATGTTTGCCTAATGGTGATTTTCTATTTTTCTCATTGCTTCTACATTTACTGATTGGTATTCTACCAATTAATAGGAAGCTCTGTCCTCTGTCTCCCACCACCCTCATAATTTATCCATTTAATTATGTATTTATATCAGCATGGATTCCTGAATATTTATTTTATTTCCAGGGTTCTAATCCAGTACTGGCACTCTGGTGGTGCAGTGGCTAAGAGCTGGGTTGCTCACCAAAAGGCCAGCTGTTCGAATCCACCAGCCACTCCTTGGAAACCCTATGGGGCAGTTCTGCTTTGTCCTGTAGGGTCTTTATGAGTTGAAATCGACTCACTGGCAACCAAGTTTTCTTAATCCAATACTATCATTATTTATTTTGTTGCTAAAATTGCCCAGCTGCGGTCTCTGGGGCAAATCAAGAAACAAAATGATGGTATTGGATTAGAATCTTTAAGATAAATATCCAGGAGTCTATAGCTGTGGGTCACTGGTGAGTCCCTGTGTGGTATAAATGGTTAACAGGCTCAGCTGCTAACTGAAAAGTTGAAGGTTCAAGTCCACCCAGAGGCACCTTGGAAGAAAGACCTGGTGATCTGTTTCTGAAAAATCAGCCATTGAAAACTCTCTGGAGCACATGGGGTCACCAGGAGTTACAGGCAGTTAGACAGCATGATCGCTTATGGTCACTGGGCCAAATGACCAAAAATGTTGTCCAAGGTAGATTTGGTTGGCACTATTAACTGGCTCTGATACTTCATCTCTTTCAGAACATGTTTAGCCAACTCTCTGGGGTGGCCCCAGGTCACTTCCTCCCACTGTGCACCTTGCTGACCTATCACCTACTTCCTGGGGCCCCGGATGGGGATGGCACTTCCGTTCTGGCTGACGCTGTTATTTTCCTGTTTCCTGCCTGAGATTTCTTCCCCCTCAGCAGTTCTGAAAGTAACTTGGTTTTTCCTTACACGGTGAAATTTGTTTAACCAAGTTTCAGCCACGGAGAATAATTTTCTGCTTGAAAGCTTTGACAGTTCCAAGATGAATCCTTAGACCAGTGTGAGCCGTGTCAGTGATGAGGCTGTTGTCACCGTCAGAATAAATTTACCTAGATTTCAGTATCTTTTCCTAGCCTTTCCAACCCACTATTCTATAAACACGAGCTAGAGATTGTGTCTCTGTCTTTCTGTCAGTGCAGCTTACTAAGCCCTGTGTGAGCTCCCTGCTTCCATTATTATCAATGACTAAAACCCTTTCCTGCTGGTATTTGCTGAGTATGAAAGAACTTGGGCTAATGGGGAGGAACTGAGTTCACCAACTTTTACGAGGTCTAAAAACAGATGCAGTATAAACAAGTTTTCCCAAGGAAGGAACAGGATCTCGTTTGTTCAGCTAGACTCAAAAAACCTTTCATAACCTTTAGGATGAGAAAAGAAAGTATTTGGGGAGCAGGAAAGAGGCCATCCTGATTCTCATTTTGATTGATCTTAAGCCCACTGTCCTGTTTCTCTCATCTCCGCTCTGGCTGCGAACACCAGCGTTATGTATCTGTCCTCGGTTTGGTTCTAACAGAGAGCCCTTTGCTTGATTGTGTGAACTCACGTAGTGAGCCCCTGTTTTAACCTTGTCCTCTTCTCTTTTTTTTTTTTTAATTATTATTTTTTGTTGTTGTTGAGAACATACACAGCAGAACATACACCAATTCAATGTCTGCATGTACAGTTCAGTGACATTGATTACAGTCTTCAAGTTGTTCAACCATTCTCACCCTCCTTTTACGAGTTATTTCTCCCCCATTAACATAAACTCAGTGCCCCCTAAGTCTCCTGTCTAACCTTTCAAGTTGCTATCGCCAATTTGAGCCCATATAGATAGTTCTTAAAAGAGCACAATGCTCACGGCAGACATTCTTTATTAAAAGTATTTGATTTCTTTCTTTTTAGTAAATCATAGCAACCTTAAGAAGTACATTTTTAGCCTAGTCCTCATTTCAGAGACTTTTCATTTTGAAAGAATCCCTTGGCAGGTACGTAAAGCCTGGAGGTGAATGTGGCCCGTGGAAGCGAGTGCCTGTTTTTGTCGTCATTATGCTGGCTGTTGTAGATACACAGATGGAGAGATACAGCCTTGCCCTCAAGAAGCTTGTTGTCGGTTGACAAAGCAGACTTTTATTTTTCAAAAATTTATACATGCAAATACATTTCTTACCTTACAAATAAAATAGATAGTAATTCCCGCTAATTGATGTTAGACTTGAATTCGGAAAACATTTTGGGGCCCTGGTGGTGCGGTGGTTAAGAGCTTAGGCTGCTAACCAAAAGGTTGGCAGTTCGAATCCACCAGCTGCTCCTTGGAAACCCTGTAGGTCCTGTAGGGTCACTATGAGTCAGTAATCAACTTGACGCCAACGGGTTTGATTTT